GTGTGGCCGGGTCTCGTCGAATGAGCCGCAACTTGAGAATTCGCATCATTTCACCGCCGCCGCCGCCGCCGCCACCACCACCACCACCACCACCATCATCATCATCATGTCTTTTTATTCTTATTTAAAACTGCACTGCCTATACAACCAGCTGTTGCGGCTGGCAGAGCCTGTGGCGAGACCCGAGGCAGAGTGGGAAGGCAGGTTACCCGTTAGCCTAGCTGCTGTCTATCCGGTACTACCACAGGTGGCAGATAGTGGAACGACCTCCAATGAAGGTTAGCTGTGAAATAAGCAGAGTAAGAAATCGCGAACCAGCGGCAGCGGCAGTACTACCAGGGCGCGGGGGGCTGAGATCTGGCAAGTCAAAAGCCTTGAAAAGTTCCAAAGCCTGAAGACAACACTGTGACATGGCGAGCATGAACCGCCCTCACATAAGTTCGCTATGGAGCCAAAGCGGTAGAGGAAGCAACCTTGAACAAACAATCCGAGAGGCTGCTCACAGGTGTGAGGTGTCTCACACTTCCTGAGACACCTCATGAAAAACTACGTTCGAAGTTCCATTAGCGGTCAGGTGAGCGTTCATAAAGCAGGGTCACTGTCCCCTGATCTAGGCCGGTTAGACAACGATCAGCTCGTGGCTCAATGGTTAGGGCGTTTAACTCTGATCAAAAAGGTTGCGGGCTCGAGAATCGAGTGGGACACCATCTGAGTCTGGATATGACTGGCTGACGACGGCTAATAAGCCAGAAATGGCCATTCCGGCATCCCTGATCTTTGCCGGCCATACTAGATGCATGCACTAGTCTCCTGATGGGATTAATCCGGAAGAATGACAGGCTTCCTATTGCTTGGCAGCCACCTGGCAATACAGTATGGGGATATCACGACATACTTTTCGTCTAGCCAGCTTGTATGGCAACTTCTGCCTGCATAAGATAAGCAAGAACATTTGTCAAGAAATTGAGAAGAACCAGATTTAGCAGCACCTGGCTTCAAAGTGACTGCTCCAGAATAAATCAGAATTTTTCTCCTAATGGTAACGCACAGTTCTAACTAACACGTGTAGTGGCTAAGCAGTGGTAGTACTTGGAGCATTACAATCGTCAGGTTAAATCCGACGTTGTAGGTCACCAAAGTGAGGGATTTATTGTGCACAGAAACCTACGTTGCTGTCCCAGACAACAGTGGCCACTAGCAA